GGGGGGGGGGTGTGGGGAGCTGGTCACACCGAGGGATAGGGAGCGGTGGGGATGTGTGGGGAGCTGGTCACACTGGGGGATAGGGAGCAGGGTGTCTATGGGGAAGCTGGTCATACTAGGGGATAGGGAGCAGGGTGTCTATGGGGAAGCTGGTCATACTAGGGATGGAGGGTGGGGTCTGGAAAACTGGTCACAGTGGGGGATAGGGTGGGTGTGGACTCTTGGGAATTGGGCCTTGTCTGGAGAGGAAGAGGGGGTCCTGCAGTAGTGCATAGGGTCAGGGATTGGGGCAGGGCACCCCAGGCTACAGGGAGATGGAGGGGACTTTGCAATACTAGATGCCCTAAGGTGTGGAAATATGTGGTGGGGGGCCACAGCATCATGTGCTCTACAGTGTGGCATAAACCAAAGCACTGAGAGCCACCAAGTGTAAGGAGCCTTCAGGAATTATGTGGCCCAGCCCATTGGAAACCTGCAGGAGGTACTGCCATGTGTAGAGGGAAATTCACAGCAATGGCAGTGTTAAATGTGGAGGTAAACCTACAGCGTAGTGAGTGTGTTGGGTATAGGGAAACCTGGAGAAGTAGCAGTAAACATGGGTGCACAGGTACTAAGTGAAGAAAAGCAGTAGGAGCAACAATGAGATACAGAACTGCAGGAAGAGCAGCAGTATGTGTCCTGGGTCAAGGAAACTATGGGAGTAGCAGTATTCAGGATTCCACGTAGAGGAAATATGCATGGGAAGAACTGACTGCAGGAACAGCAACACTAAGGGCAAGAGGTGCTGAAAACCTGCAAGAGCTGCAGCACTGAGTATCTGCTGTCAGATATCTGCCTGAGAATTTAAGAGGGTACTGGATGTGGAGGAAGTTGCAGGAACAGAAGAACTGAATGGTGTAGATCAGTAAAAGCAGCAGCACCCCCACCAAGCATTGGGGATGCACAAAACCTGTTGGAATAGGCCCAGCTCTGAGCACCTGGTCTCCAGGAAGGCTGCAGAGGTAGCAAGACTGAGTATCCTGTATGCAGGAAATCTGAGGAGGCAGATGTTCCCACAGTCTAGGTGTATGATGCCTTCAAGGACAGAAAAACCTGTACCAAGTAGGTAAGGCACATTACAAGTCTGGTAGCAATGAATGTTTGAATTCAGGAAATCCGTAGGGGTATTAGCAATGAGATCCTTGGTGTTGGACACGGTGTGGGTAGCTGAGCTCTTGGTATAGGAATCCGGCAGGGACAAAAAAATACAGACCCTCTAGAAACCTGCATTAGCAACAAGCCGGAGGCCAGGTGTCAAAAATGTGTAAGGGCGGAAGCACCAAGCAGCCTCAGTGCTACAAACTTGCAAAAGCAGCTGTCTAGAATCCTGGAGAAGTTCAAGGTATGGGGAGCAGAATAAAGCCAGGTGCAGGTAAAGCTGCAGGAACAGCAGCACCAAAAGGCAGGAGACCTGTAGAAGTAGGAGCAGCAGCAAGTATGCCAGCTACCTGCACTGTTAGATGGTGTCAAATCTAACTATTTAGATAAATTTAAAATATGGTACAGAAGAGATCACACAGTAGGACAAGCCTGAAGTCATATGAATCCACATCCATACTTTCTACTGCACACAGTCATGAAAAGTACACTTATTTTAAGCTTTTACTTTTCTTTAAAGGTTGCTGTTGGGAGAAGGTTCTGGCATCAGCCCTGGGCTGCTCTCGGCAGGTGGCACCGGCTTCAGCCCTGGAGCTCAGGGCACTGGGTTTCAGCCACGGGGCTACACGCCCCACCCTGAAAGGGCTCACAGTCCCCTGGTTGAGAACCGCTGACGTAGGCCACAGAATTTCACCCATCAATTCCTGCATCAAGCCCATAACTTCTGGTTGAGCTAGAACATGACTTAACCTGAGGGAGACAATGCATCCCAACTTTATACTGAAATGTGGTAGCATTCAATAACTAGAGTTTTTGTGGGGAGGTCAGTGGGAGAGAGATATTAAAAAGAAATGTATTTCAAATAGTTTGAAATATGCTCATTGATATTGATCACAGAATCTTGGATCTGCTAAATAATTCTCTTGATAAAACATTTTATTCTTAATGTATCACTTGATATCATCCTTGCCAAAATTCATTATTTTAATGTTATTAAATATTCATTACAATAGCACCTAAAGTGCCCGTGCCACAGTTGAGCTCCCATGGTGCTCATAAAGACTTGGGCACTAAGGAGTTTACAATCTAAATACACAAAAGATGAAGGATTGGGGAAGGTAAAGCAACAAATACACAATGGGATCAAAGTGATGCAGAAGTTACAGTTTTAGTTTTCCCACCAATGTGCATATTCCTCAGGCAAACTATGATTACCAATGTCCTCCATACTCTTATTTTCTTAACCACTGCCTCCAAACCCATTCCCCTGGATAGCACAGAGATAGAAATCCCAGTCATTAAATAAAAAAAGTAAATCCTCAAACTAGTGAAAAGTTACAAAAAAAACAGCCATCAAAATATTATCCTTCATTGAGTGAGGTATCCCAACTTTCTCGTAGCCGCTGGGAAGACTGGGGACATGCCATATGATGTTTCTACTACAGTCTAGACAGCTTTTGTAATTGGTATTAACTTTCCTTGCTGTGTTCCTTTGTTATTCAGGATTTGCCTTAAGGAGCGAAGGTGAAAAACCCCCTGGATCCCTGGCTCGAGCCCTGCCACCGCCTTACTCCCCCCCCCCCATAGAAATAAAACTGCCTATGACCGAGGGTCCCTCCCCCCAGCCCGGAGCCCTGTATTCTTCCCCTCCTCCCCCACAGGCCCTGGCATTTTTATAGCATGTTGAAGGAGGCCTCAGCAAGAAAAATATTGAGAACCCCTGGCCTAGGTTATGCAGGAAGTCAGACTAGGCAATCGTAATGGTCTCTTCTGGCTTTAAAAATCTATGAATAATATTGGTTTCAGAGTAGCAGCCGTGTTAGTCTGTATCCACAAAAAGAACAGGAGTACTTGTGGCACCTTAGAGACTAACAAATTTATTAGAGCATAAGCTTTCGTGGACTACAGCATATGCATCCGAAGAAGTGGGCTGTAGTCCACGAAAGCTTATGCTCTAATAAATTTGTTAGTCTCTAAGGTGCCACAAGTACTCCTGTTCTTCTTTTTGCGGATACAGACTAACACGGCTGCTACTCTGAAACCTGAGTGACAAACTATGTTTTACTACTCGCAAAATTGCCATTGAAGTTTACCAGTCTAGGCACAAAACCTACTTGTCTCTCTTTTACCATGACTGATAATGGAAAAAACCACCCCAGTTAATGACATTTTAATTGCACATTGAAAAAAAAGCTCTTCAACCTCTTGAGTGGGCAAGCAGAATTCCGTGCGTTTCTGTGACCTCCATGACTTCTGCAACAGCTGGTGTGGCTGACCCTAGGGCTGCCCAAGTAGTTGGCCCGAGGGCCAGCTACTCAAGTGGCCCTGGGGCCAGCTGCACAGAGCAGTCCTGGGGCCAGCCACACCAGCTACTGCTCGAGCAGCTCCGGGGCCTGCCAGAGCAGCCACGAGTGCAACTGGCCCCAGGGACCACCTGAGCAGCAGTGGATGGGCGGACCCACAGCCAGCTGCTGCTGGAGCGATTCTAGGGTCAGCTGCACCGACTGCTTCTCAGGCAGCCCCTGGGCAGCTGACCCCAGGGACCACACGAGCAGCAGCCAGTGAGGGTGGCTCTGAGGACTGCCCGAGCAGCGGCGGGTGGGCAGCCCTTGGGGCAGCTAGAGCAGCCACTGCTCATTGGCCCCCGGCAGCTGGTGCCACTGGCCTCGGTGGCTCCACCAGAGCAGTGGCCTTCACCCCCCACCCCCTGCCCAGAGCAGCACCCCTCCCCCCGCCCCTCAGAGCAGCGTTCCCCCCCGCACTAGCTAAGATTTAGTCAGGGGTATATAGTACATGTCATGGACAGGTCGCAGACCGTGAATTTTTGTTTGTTGCTTGTGACCTATCCAAGACTTCTACTAAAAATACCCATGACTAAATTGTAGCCTTAATTATCACCAGGAATAAAGATTCTGGAGGTTAAATTACACCTTTGGTCACATCTGTGCAACCCCATTAACCTTCAATGAACTCGCACAGATGTAATTGAGGGCATCATTTAAAGACAATGAGGTTGCACAGATGTTAATAGAAGGCATAGTTTGAACGGCAGAATCCTCAAAACTAGTGATTGAGACTGATAAGAAAAGAACACAAACTGACTTTCAGATCCCAATTTGGAGTTGCATCACTGAAAGTTAGAAAAAAAAATGTTTGAACTCTTCTATATTGAGCTTGCTTGAGCTGCACATCAGGACCAGATTAAAGAATTTTGGAGCCGTGATCTATGGAAATTGGGGGGAAACCTTCCTTAAACTAGAAGAGCATGTGATATGCAATGAGTAAATATGAGAACATCTCCATTTTATTATTAATATTAGATCAGAGAAGACTGAAAAATCTAATATGAAATATATTAATATTAATAGATCTAGACTATTTAATTTAAATACACATAACAATTTGTTTTTTTTAAGAAATCT